AAATTACATATTTAACTTGGACAATAAATATACAGTTTGGAACTTAAATGTTTAGTTTGTAAACTAAATATTTAGTTTGTAAATTAAATATTTAGTTGGGAACTATGACATTTATAAATGTATGAATATCATGGTGAAAATATGACGGAAAAAAAAAATTATTTTTCTTATGAAAGGTTAAATAAATCAAAATATTGCTGTTAATTTTTGACTGTGTAACTTTACAAACGACACCCCATACAAACGAGCTCCTGAGAAAGAAAAGTCTTACATTGAGTCATTAAAATCTAAAAAATCTTCAAAGTCTTGGACTGCTTGGTTCTCCTCACAGCTGGATGTTGAACAATGGGCTCAGGTTCTCAGGGAAATCCACCGCAGGGCGACAGTGATGTCAGCGCTGACCACATATGGACATCTGAATGTTTGCTCAGAGACAAACGTGCTCACCGTTTCAGTTTCCATCCTGTTTCAGTGCACAAACAACTGCTCACTTTCAAGGCGTTTAAAAATGTTTACGAGCGGGTCGCTGTGGGTCCAAATCTCGTATTTACATGAACAATGAAAAGAGGAGGATTTTACGACACACAGAGGCAAACAGGTTTTGTTGCTAAATCTAATGAAGCCTGCGATTTAAAGGAAGCTTGAGAAGTTCTACAGACGAGCACAAAATAAACTATCGGGTTGGTTTGCTGCTCTGGAGCGTTCAAGTGTGTTTCAACACAATGCCAAGCAGCAAAAACAACAGCAATAATCGTATCTGTCAATCAGTCTGGGGCTGGATTACATAATAATTTAAAGAACTACTCCAACTTTCCACAGAGAGGCAAATTATTCTCATCCGAACAAGTTCGCTCCGAGATCGGATTGATGGAATGATCTCCAGCAGCTTCTTCTGTGCAGAACGGATCAGAACTGGGCCGGAGCAAACGTCTGAGACAAAAAGGGAAGAAGTTGGCACAGAGAACAGCACTAAGCTGGTAGAAGCACCTCCTAATTGTGAAGCACGGCGGTGGGGGCTGATGATTTGGGCTCAAGATCCTCCATAGTTTCGTAGTTCTAGAATTGCGCTGCTCAAGGTGGCTGCTTGTTGGAGCAGCTGTTACTTTCATTCTGGGATGTTGCTTTTAAAAACTTTATTTTCTCTTTTTTCTGGATGTACATGGATTTTTTTTAATGATTTCTTCCTCTGGTATCGGATGCTGTTTTTTTTATTTTTACTGAAAACCTTTTACTTTTGGACATTTGTTATGATGCGTAACCATGACAACAAGGTGGTTTTTAATAACTGGGAGCAGTTGATTAACATCTCAAAGCTCAAATAGTACCTCAACTACAGCCTCAAATCCCAAATGAGTTGTAAAGGAGGCGCCATGGATGCATCTCTGTCTACCTGGCGGAGGTGCTCGAGTGACTGACTGCTGAGATCCCGGAGCTGGCAGGAAACGTGGCTCATGACAAAAAGACCTGGATCATCCCCCGACACCTGTAGCTGGCCGTCTGCAATGATGAGGAGCTCAACAAGCTCCTGAGAGGAGTGGCCATCGCTCGGGGAGGAGTTCTGCCCAACATTCAGGTGGTCCTGCTGCCCAGGAGGACCGAGAGGCCCGCTGGGTCCTGGTAGACAGATCGGCATCTGCAGCCAGTTTCTTCAGACCCGCTGTGAGACGGACTGCTGCGAGAGATCCTTCCTGCCCACAGCATCTAGAACAACTCTTAATGAAACCAGGACAATGAGCTACAGCATTTAATTTCTCTTTGGGATTAATAAAGAATTTTGAATTGAACCGAATAAGTCAAAGTGTTGTGAACGGTTTTTAGACCTCCGCTTCTCTCTGTCGTTGGCTACTCGCTTCGACCGGTGCACAGAACTCACAAATCAGGTCAGATTGTAATCTATTCAAAGCTGGATTAAATCAGATTAAAGTCAGACCAACACATTTTTTTATCTGTTACACACGGCTCAGAGGTTTATCCAAACGATGGAGTGGAAAAACCACCCGGTGTGATATTTTAATTTTCAGTTTATATATATATATATATATATATATATATATATATATATATATATATGTATTTTAAACGGAGCAGCTGAGCAGAGCTTTCCTTTGTAATTCTCACAGATTTGAAGGTTTTATCTGCGATGATCAGATTATTAAAGTTTGGAGCAGATTTCAGGAGCACAAACTCAAATCTGCACGTTTGAATGTGTAAAACATCAAGACTGCACCTCAAAGAGAGACAGCAACTTCCTGCTGGGTCACAGATTATGATGCTAATCCTGCTCAAAGGGAAGCTAACAGATGCTAATGAATGCTAATGAGCTCTGTGACAGAGAAAGCTTCCAGATGTGTGGGGTCAGAGGTCAGTCTCCTGTAGTTACACTAAAACGCTGATAAAACAGTCAATAAAAAAGGCAAAAAATCCCACAAAATGTTGATTACAAACCATTAAATACTTAAGTTTACATACACCTTGTAGGCTTGTATCTTTAATAACATAAACATGTTTCTTTTATTCAAATAGTGTTGGAGCAGCTGGGCTCTCACGAGAAGGAAGATGATTGGGTTTCTCTGCTTTTGATACTTTTTAAGTGGTTTTTTAAATTTATTTTGCCTTTCATTGTAGCCTGTGTGGAAAATATAACATTCTTTATGATGCGATGAAACCAGAAAACATATTTTCTTATGTTTAATGTACTTTTAATGTGAATGAGTAAAACCAAAAGTGTCTTGACGTCTGTGGCAAATGTCCTTAAATCTTAAACACAGGAAGTTCTATCCTTTAATGTTTGATAAGGCTTGTTCATCCAGGAACAGAATCGTTTAAAGTGGTCTTGATCAATTGTTTTCCACTTCCCCCCCCCAAAAAAAATACTTTGACCTAACCATGTTTAGTTTTATTTTAATCTCTTGACACTTTTGGATCTTTTTCCCCAGTATCTTTGCTTCAACTCTTTATTTAAATCTAAAATACCAAAGATGAAGCTTTTTCTTGATTTTTATTGACCATTAAATTCTGTTTATCTCCCACAGTTTTTAGTCCTGACAGTTCTCATACTGATTATTTATCTCTAATCCCTAAAGATTATATTTCTGTAGGGGGGCTGTGTAACTTCTCTGGCCTGGGAATACGTCAGGATCCTCCAGGATGAGCTGGAGCATGTCGTTGGGAAGAGAGAAGTCTAGATTCTTCCACTTGACCCGATGGGTTAGAACTGGACGGACGGAGACGTTTCCCTTCGGTTCTCTGCTGATCCACTTTCCCAAAAGCTTAACATCAAACAGGTGCAAGACACGGACAAAAAAAAAAAAAAAAACGAGTGAAAAGGTGGTCGAAGTGCAAAAATATCTATTCTTGAAAGATCTTCTGAACTGTCAGTGAAGAGCATTTTAAAGGTTTTACATTAAAATCTGACTTTTTAGGTAAAACTTGGTTATCGTTATCCACGTCTTTGTCTTTCATCTAAATTTAAACCGAGGACGGTCAAGGTCCTGAAATCCTTCACATCCTTTCCCCCAGCTGGTCTGACTCGTCCTTCGGGGGGGTCACTGCATCACTCCTGAGCATGCTGGGAAATATGTTTTGTTCTCATGGTTGCTATATTTGAGTGTCAACTGGGACGTTCGGAGCTACTGCAGAGGTCAAAGTGTAACGAGCGAGCTTCAGCCCGACTGCTGTTACAGATCCAGTTTAAGATCTTTAAGGCATCAGGACGACTTTCAACCGGACTTCATTTACATTTCCTGCACAGAGCAGTCGAGCTCAAATTAAGCAGAATTTTTTGATATTTTGCAAAAAACAAAAGCCAACGAGTGAAAATTGTTTCCTTTATTTTACTACAAACACAAAATGCATTAACAGTATAAAAAGTTTATTTACAAGCTGCAGCGAGAACACCCGGTGAAGTCACCACTTTAACAACTACCATGTAAAAACATGTCACTTTCAAGTTTTATCTTCCTACTGAGCCTGTTGCCCTGAATGATCACACTTTTATTCACCGATTTCCTTTAACGCCACGACTGTTATTCAGTACAAACATTCGTAAAATAGTTTGCTGATCTCCATCCAAGTTATTTGAACAGCTCATTTAAAAAGATCTCAAGTGTTCAAAACTATAAGATGAGCAAAAGCAGAAACTAATTCAGAACTGCTATGATAGATCAATTAACGTATAAAACAATTTAGCTGACAGAAAGCTTAGCGAGAAGATTTAACAAACAGCTTTTTAAATAGCTCACTCACATTTTTATGGTTTTAATGGTAAAAAACTTAATTGTAATTAAACTAGAATTCCTTGAATGAATGCGTATCACCCGCCGCACTGCATGACATTTAACAAACTGAGCTCATAGTTCATGCTGGGGATCACCTCCTGCAACTACCACACCAGATACAGCTCAATATCTGTAAAACTGACTGTTGGTTCTGTTTGTTACGATTTAATGAGGCGGCCATCTTGAATTGAGGAAAATAAAACTGGGAAACTAAATGTGTGCAAGAACAAAAAATAGGCAATAATTTTTGTAAAAACAAAAGTTACATTTTGTTGGAATGATCTTTTGTTGATCAGAATGACTGAATTACAACTTTTCAGGGTTGAAATTGTGTTTTTTTTGTTTAACAACAAACCAAACAAGACCGAGTTTCAAGTATATTTATATATTGGTTTACTATTTTGGACACCAAACAATACTGATGATCCTTCGGTTGTTTCAGCTCGTTTTAGTAATCCAATATTTGGGGAAACGACATCTTATTTCAGGGGCTTCAGGACAACAAATATAAGATGTTTCTGGTAAACTGTTGTAACAGCTTGAACATTCTGGGTTTGTTGGTCAGACAAATTAAAATATCATTAATTTACTGACGGACAAACTCAAAGAATATTAATCCAAGTGTCTCCACAGAAATACTCTGCATCAGAGTCAGTTCAAGATGGCGTCAGAGACTGACGAGGAGCAGCAGCTTACATCGATCTGAGGAGAAGGAGACGAAGAATCAGCTGTCTGGGAAACCGTAAAACGACTCGTTGTCGCTCTCGCCATTGAACACCTGACGCAGAGCAGACAGACCGCTGGCAAGGTCCTGGTTCCCCTCCTGATGCTCTTCAGAGCTCTCCGGGCCACTGTTCTCCTTCGCCTCCAGCTGAAGTTCTGGTTCAGTTTTCTCCTCGTTCACTTCCAGCTGAAGTTCTGGTTCAGTTTTCTCCTGGTTCACCTCCAGCTGAAGTTCTGGTTCAGTTTTCTCCTCGTTCACCTCCAGCTGAAGTTCTGGTTCA